CCCCCCCCCCCCCCCCCCCCCCCCCCCCCCCCCCCCCCCCCCGGTTTAGGAGAATCACACCCCTGGAGGATTTGAGGATTTGACGCCGTTCAGTGTTCAGGGACGGCCCATATGCAGTCTTTTTTCCTAAGATGAATAATACCAGCATTCTTTGTAGTCCTATTGTAAAAGCTCACCGAGGAGCTAAATGCACAGCCCTGTCCAATTAGTTGCAAAATCAAAGGTTCCAGGAAAAAAAAAGAAAAAAAAAAAGCCAAAAGAACGACTCCGTCTCAGATGTTGGAACTAAAGCAAAACATAAAAAAAAGAAAGAAAGAAGAAAAGTCATTAACCAAAGCCATTACATGCCGCTATTTACTGTGAGCCATCAAAGCCTACCGCTGGACCCTCTCCTCTCCATCCGGCATCAGGCCTGAGCTGTCTGAGGAGGAGGGCCATGAAAGTTTAGGTTTTAGGCCCAAAGCCGACAAGCCGTTTGCCCTTATTTGAAAACTTTTGAATGGAAAAAGAAAGAAAGAAAGATAAGAAAAAGATTCCTTAAGCGCAAAGTTGTGGATTTGATCCATTTTAAATGCACGATTACGAACTCAGCCAGTACATAAAAGATTTGTTTCAGTTTGGTGGAATAATGCATTAAAAAAAAAAGAAAATTATGACTACAATAGTGCTAATTGAGACAAGCCAAACAAATTAGTTGTATTATTTTGAAAAGCATGATTGTTTCAGGATGTAGGTCGCTTCAGAAGCAGGTGATTTAGCTCTTCTCTGGATGATGGACTACTGACTGTGTGAGGGTTAGGTCGGCATGGCAGGCTGTGCTAAGCTAGGCTAACTAGTTGTCTGCGACCACCCTTCTTTTCCCACAATATTTTTCCACAGTGGATTCCCCCACCCACCAAAAGAAATCCATCCGTTTGCTCGTGCCGTTCGGCTCCATCCGGTGAAGCCCCACCATCAGTATTTATTCTTTTTTCTGGGATGCCTTGAGCTGGAGATGAATCATTTCCATGAGACAAATCACCCATTTAAATCAAACTCAGACTTGTTAGAACACTGATGTCCAAGGATGCTGCCTGTAAATTTGCTCAACCCCCCCCCCTTCCCCATTCCCAGACCAAGACTGTTCTGACCCGAAGAATCCGGCCTGCGTCTGTTTTCTTTGGCATTGCAGGTTTTTCTGTGAATGTCCTTAAACCTCTGGGATCAGAGGGGCCCTCTGGGTCCCGGCCCCCCCCCCCACTGACTGCACACTGTTCACCCAGGACGTCCGGGTGGAGGTGCCCAGCCACGCTGTGGAGTTTTCTACGATGGGACGATAACACAAAGACCTCTATTTTTCAGACTTTTTAAAAAAAATCAGTCTTTCTGCCTTGATGAACACTGAAAGGATTGCTGTGTCTTGGATGCTTTTTTTTTTTTTTTTTTTTTAAAATCGTTTTAGCCAAAACACGGTCTTTTTTTTTTTTTTTTTTTTTAACCAATCATTGCTGGACTTTGCGAGAATGTGAGTTTTTCTTATCCGTCGATCTCTTCCGAGAGCCGGCCCGTGGCTGTGGGAGGACGTAGTTTACAGAGAAACCTTAGGAGAAGCCAAAGGCTGGGCTAAAAGTCAGGTTTGTTCCTCCCTGCTGTTTCGTCATCAAGCGATCTGAATGTGTCATGCCATCAAGAGCTTCTTTCATAGTTTGGGAATGAATTGCTGCTACATGTTATGTGCCATTTGAGATGTTTTCGAGCCATTCCCTCTTTTAGAAAACATGCTTTTATTCACTGATAGTCAAACCCGACCACGTCATTTTGAGGGTTAGATGTGTTAGAAATGCTTATTCACCCCCTCCCCCCTTCCTAGTGTGATGATCTAAGGTACTGTTAAAGTTATGTCTTAGATTAGATATGTGTAGATTAGATGGGGTCAGCTTTGTGGAGCACAACCTAGTTGAGTAAGACTCCTCTTATATGGCAGGGAAATGGGATTTTCTTTTTCTTTAGACGAGGTTATGTAAAGGTTCAAGCTCGGCGACATCTAATGCCGCCTTACTGAGCTGCCAGATCTGAGAACGGACTAGTTTGGGTGGAAGGGGGTCATGCGTTCATCACTCCTCCCCCAAACATGCTTCACACAGTAGTAATGGCTCTGAGAACACACATATAAATACATCTGACTGGTACATTTGTAAAGTGAAATCCTGTTAAAAAGGGTGACGATAACCTCCCTCCATCTTCTTTGTCCTTTATCTTAAGGCTTTATTGTATAAAGGCAGTTATTTTGAGATACCCGAATTCTGTATTTTTTGAAAAACACGCTGCGCTGATATGAACCTGAACCACCTTCCTGCTTATCAGTCATTGTTTCATGGTGCCTGAAATGAATAAAGTCAAAGCTTTGTTTCGCTTTGTCGTGGCTTTCTTTGAAAAGGACTCACACTCCATCAGAACAGCTTACACAAGTTGCTATATTTAATGACATTGTTATTACAGTCACTACTTTGGTGAAAAAGGAGGAGCATCCATCAAACGTACAGTATGTAAATGTGTCAACGCATCCGAGGAATGTGACCCTTGCAGGAGTCCTTGGCGTATTTAGAACAGTTTTATTTTCTTTACACAGTATTTACAGGAGTTAAACCAACAGCACCCGGACGTGGCAGGACAGAAATGTTTTAAGTCTCTCTCAGTCGACTCCATGTACACCTCTACAGGCCTGTGATAAAAGGACCTGATGCTCAGTTAAAGTGCTAAACAGCTGGTTTGAATCCCATTGCATGGAACCAGCAGACCCGACGTTCACACGCTTGTTATATGTCCAACACAAACAGCTTAGAATGTGAGTGCAATTAAGGGTTACTATAGTAGAGCGTGTTAATAATATCCCCAGAGTCCTAATTAGCATAAACATACTTAGTATTGCACCTGGGTCATAGAAGGGAAGCATTTCAGATTACCAAGAAAACAGAAATCCCATAGGATGCAAGACCTGAAGAACACCAATACCATCATGACCACCTGGTGTCATCGGTGCCACAGTTAGTCGGCCGATCTGTGATAACTCAGGGAACCTGGAGCCACCGCGGCGATAACGAGTGTCTGGGGAACTTGTGGTGAACGAGTGTACATGTAAACGTCCATTGTCAGTCCATCTGCCCGTCAGTATGGTCAATTATCCCAGTAACACATTAACGGTAAGTACTGTATTACAACAACGACACGCAATTTCTGAAATTTGACAGTAACTTTTTCCACTTGTCAAGCACCTTGAGAGAGTTCAGAGGCATTCCCAAAAGGGGGGGGGGGGGGGCAACGCCTCTAAAGCAACAAGCTCATTAGCCTTCAGGCACCTTTCTCAAGACACCAAAGGAGGACGACACAGGCAAACACTAAAAATCTGAAAGAGGATTCATCCAGCTGACAAACCAAGATCGACAAGTTTCTCCTCTGCAGATAGTTCTGCTGGAACAGATGCATATCAGATAATCTTCCTAGTTACTAACCAACACTACAACTACTACTAACAATAATAATAACTATAACAATGATAACAGCAACAACAAGGCACCTATGGCGTCTCTAAGGCAGCGGCTGCAGTAGATGTGACCACAACTGTGGGTGTAAATAACAAAAAAAAGAACAAAAAATAGAATGGCCAGGTAGAGCACAAGTAGAGAAACGAACAAACATGCAAACCAAAAACCTGAACAGAATACAGGAGAGTCATTAGTGAACAGTAACAGTGAATATTGCAGAAACCGCTTGCATATTCGCTTCATAAAAACCCAGAATACCCGCACAAGGCAAAAGTCTACACGACCATAAGGCACATTAGCGTGAAAATTTAGTGAAGGAAAATTACTGGATGAGAAATGGTTGACGACCGGACGGGGGGGGGTGAAAAATAAGTGAAAATTGCGAGAGAAAACTAACGGATAAAAACACATGCTCCAGAGCTTCTGATGCCTTCAGAATAACTGAATGCCCTTTTTTTTTTTTCCTCCTTTCATGGCTCCACCAAAGCCACATTCAAATGGATGGAGCCGTCTCTTCACAATTCACCGGGAAAACAATGTGAAAAACCTAAGAGGGAAAAAAAAACAAAAAAACTGGAAGTGCAGGTGTTGATGCAACAATGGAAGTCCTTGTTGACTTCACTGCTCAGTCAGTGGCTTTGGCAGTGAGGGGTTCAGTCTCTGAGGAGTCCTCCTGAGGAAACACTACGTAACACGTTTTCTGGCCCATGTATGTGACTCTCTCTGAAACACAAAAGACCAATTAAAACTAAGAATCAAAAGGCCCACCAAAGGTTTGGACGTACTTTTTGTGTGGAGCACACAGACTCACCAACTAGCCTGTAAATCCATTTGGGTTTTTCCTTCCACTGAACTCCAACAAAGTAAACAGGAACCCCGGTCAGCATAATGACCATTCCAAGGCCGCAAACCACGGGCTCAGAGTACAAACTGAAGCACAGCAGGACAGCCCAGAAAATCAGGTAGGCTATCGGGACCAACATGCTAACCTGCACGGAACAAAAAAAAACAAAAACATTACTAAATATCTTCCCGTGCATGGAAAATAATTTTACATATTTGTACAAGTGCTTGTTCATCTAATTTTTTCCAGATCACATATAGTTCTAAGGAAATTATTTATTGATCCTCAGTCACTAAGAGACTAATATAGGCTATTCACTGGGCAAACTAATAAATGTCCCTTTGTGTGCATTACAAACTCTGCGGCTGACATTTCCAACACCAGGGGGCGCCAAAACATCACGCAATTTGACCTCAGCTATGCTGCCACCGTGCTGGCTAATATAAGCCTAGGCATTTCAGACAGGACCTTCCATTCCAGAGAAGTCTGGGTTTCCCTCCTGAGGCGCATGAGACTAAATGTATGCTTTGGGAACAGTGCGTCTTGTCTCAGAATTATCTTTTTTTCAGGGGTGGAGACCAAGCATGCAGAGAAACAAGCTGCCGATTAGAAAATCTGAACAGAAAAAATGAGGAACACTGAAACAAAGCGACATTAAAATTGCATTCTACCGTCGTATAAAAAAAGCCTTTTGATGTTTTCAGCTCATCTAGAACACAGGGGCTCTGGACCTGTCATCCTACTGAGTAGATGGTCGCTGGCTGGACGTTGATCATTTAAAACTCATTTGTACCTTGATTGGTCTGTATAGATTGGGTCTCGTCTTTCGCAGGTACAGCAGGCCGGCAATCGTTACCCCGTAAGACAGATAGTTGATAAAAGACACGTAGTTGATCAGGTTGTGCGTCTCTCCGATGCACAGGATGACTATTGTGGCGAAACACTGCAAGACAGACAGGTTTGAACCCATAAATCAAAACTTACAGAGCAGAAACAGAGGCCCTGGTCTGTCAGTGCTTTGCTTTGTGCTGATGTGAAGATGCACAGCTGGATCCAGCTGACGGAGCTGTACTCACACAGACCAGCAGGGCAGGGATTGGTGTGCAGTTTTTTAGGTGGATCATGGCCAACAGATATGGCAGGTGACCCTCTCTGGCTCCTGAGAAACACAGCCTGCAAAAATGCAAAAATACGCCACACATTCATGGTGGGAATCCAACATTCATCAGACCAAAGTCTGGCGAATAAGAAGGCTTTGACATTCCAGATGTTGACATTTGACATTCCGGATGCGGCAGTTTTACCTGGAGGAGGTGAACAAGTACCCGTTAATGCCTCCAAAAGTGGACAGCGCCACAGAGATGGGCATCACCCAGGAGAACATCCCCAGCAGCTTGTCTCCAAAGGTCTGCGACAGCACCACAAACATGGATCAGTTCAGTGTCGGAGGGCCACCGCACCACAACCCCCCTGAACAGAGACGTGAACGGGTTTATACGTGACTGAAAAACCAAGAACTGCTCACCACTGCCACGGCGTTAGAGGTGAGCAGCTCTTCTGGGGTCATGGAGGAGAAGTAGGCGATGTTGGTCATGGTGTAGACCAAAGTCACGAGTGGGATGGAGATGTAGATGGCACGGGGGAGGTTCCTAATGAAAGAGTCCAGATTTATGAGTGGGCGTGCGGGGAAACGGATCAGGAGATCCATCACGAGAGGGATACGGTGTCTTACTTGCGTGGCTCCACAACCTCCTCTGTGACATAGTTGAGGAAATTCCACCCGCTGTAGGCAAAGGAGGCCTGGAGGAAGGCCAGGGCTATCTGTCCCACGGAGGGGTCCTGACTGAACTCAAAAGCCGCGCTGGGCCGCAGGGCGTCGTAGTGACCTGTCCACAGGCGGGAAGGGAGGGCACAGAAGAGCGTAAAAAAACTCTGCTTCACATCTAACAATTAGATCAATCCCCTTTTACAATAATTAAATATTCCCCTTTAACATAAAAGTCTCGTGAGGTGCAGAGATTTAGCCATGTTTAACCGTTTTTATCCGAAATTCTGAGCAAAAAGTATAATACATCATCTATTTTTACCCCAAGTTACTATAAGAATGTACTCTCTGATCCCCAAGCACTTATTTTGTGCCGGTGATGTGTGTATGTATGTGCTTTACCTCTAAAGATTTGGACTAGTCCCACCACTATGATGAGGGCGAGAGCGAGAAGTTTCCCCACGGTGAAAACATCCTGAATTCTGGTGGCCCAGCGCACACTGGAACAGTTCACCCACGTCAGGAACACTGCGCACACACACACAAAAGCACAAATAAATACCACTAATTACACAAAAAAACAAATAGAATTTGCCTGCCGGCCGATCCATATTAAAAACAGAGATGAAACTGGTGTGAGGTTCAATCTCCACCAGTTGAGCTCTTTAACAGCTGATGTTATTTTCAGGACAATGAAACCATTTTCTGGGCTGAACAAGCATTAAGACGCTTGATTGACCTCAAAGTCTCCAACACATGGGAATGCCTTAGGCACTTCCACTGACCTCATTCATTAAATCCCACTTTAACCATTGCGGCCAATCTGAAACCATAGGTTTCTGTGCTGTCTCCATCCTTTGAAAGATTGGTGTGAAGGCCTGTTCTTTACATTGACACGCATGTACAGTCGAATTCATTTACATAAGGAACAGAAGAGGTCAAATAAATAAAGTTTTGAATGAAATATCACTTGTTATTTTTGTCAGTGGTCAAAGATTCTGATAGTGAGCTTTTCTGAAATCTAAAAATAAAATGAAAAAAATAAAATCGATACAATGGGCCTGGGGTTGTTGGACCCCCATTTCTCCTGTCAATTATCCACATTTACGTTTGTATATGAAAGGCAAAAATTAAGATTGTACAATTATTTTAAGCTCAAAAGTCAATATCTCATGTTAGGCTTGTTGAAGGGCAGCCCAAATCTGTTCTTTGGATGCTGGGCAATTTTTTTAATGCAAATGCACTATACATCACACTGCAACACTTAAGCAATTTAAAGTCAACACTGGGCACCTAAACACGGAATAAAATGAGGCCCAGAGACAGAAAATGACCAACTCTAAATTGTTCTTGGCAAGAAATTGTGAACTGAACATTTCCTGCTTTTGGTTTCCTCCCCGTGTTGCACTCCCGTGTGCATGCGTGCCTGTAGGCCCCTGCACTCCCCAAAGCTGCTGATCTTGACATTGACCCACAGATTTGCGTGTTTGTGAATGGCACCATAACAAGGGCTGGCCTAATTCCAAGCATTCGGGCCAAGCTAGAATAAACACCCTCCAACTCAAGTGCGAGCCAATGGGTGAGAGTTACAGTAAGACTAAGAGGCTGTCAATGGAGCAGAGAACAACAAAAACCTTTTAAAACTAAAAATATTTTTTAAAATAATCTATCTTCATGTCCTCAAGGGATGATTTAGGTATTGTAACAGTAGAAAAATGCTGAAAAGAACTTAATACAAGTATTCATAACTTGCATGTGTTAAAGTGATATGTCATGTAATAATCATAACATATTTTTAAGCTTATGTGGTGCATCATTGATAATCACAGAATACATGAAAAACGCAGCCTGCACTAATGAACTCTTTAGCAAAAAGACCCCAAAAGAAGCACAAAAGAAACCCATATGAATTAAGTTATTTTCCAAAGTTTGTAGAGCAGTATTTGAGCAGATGTTCCCACAAAGCTCCAGGTATGAGACAACAAGTGACTGAAGAAATCAGATATTGTGAAATCAATGTTTTGCCTCATTTAAAGGGAGTATATCCTCATGAATACATCAGTTCCGCTCCCATTTCTCCGGCAGCTCACTCCTGATTCCAATTGCTTTTCACTTTTCCTGCAGAGGTATTTCAAATGGGGAAGGAAAGCAACATCTCTTTCACGTAGGCTCTGGATAATCTCATCAAATCAACACATATCGTGACTTGACTTGTGTAATTAATTACATAATCATCATCTGGTGAAGGATTGCCCTGAAAACGTAACATGTTGTATAGAGCACTCAACTTTTGAACGGTTATCAGGGAAATATCCCAAGGAGTGGTGAAGGGGATGTGTCATAAGTAAAAGGAAGACACTGGGCTGAACGTCCTGTGCATGCTCAGTACGGATTTGTACCATCTGTTGCTATCAGATGCCTACATCTCAGCATGAAACTCCAAAAAACAAAACACAGACACCGATACAATATTGACATCATGTTCCATGATTGTTTTGAGAATGTTCACTGTATCCCATTGTTTCTCAATTTATTCTGAATGGTTTGTTCACCCCCCCACCCAGACACAAATACGCGCGCACACACACACACACACACACACACATACACACACACACACACACACACACAACAGGCCCACAAACAGTGTGTAGGGGGCATATACAGGAGCTGGGTCATCGATCACCAGAGAAAGCTTACCCTCCCACCACAGTAAACTGCTTCCGCTGCTGCCGGCACACACACACAATCACACACACACACACACACACACACACACATGTGAATTGTTGGCAGGAGGTTTTGGTGGCACCGGGCAGAGCTTTTTCTGCCTTACAACACCGCTGTGTTTTATATTCCTTTACTCTGAGGGTGCTGCATGCATTTCCGTTCTTGTGTTCCTGTGAACCCCCCCCCCCCCCAAACCACCCTGACTTTCCTCCGTTTTAACCCTGACAGGAAGGAGGTGCCCGTGACTTTGAATGTGACAGTGCAGGTAAATCTGTGCCCCCCTCCAAGTCACAGCTTCCATTGAAGGCTGCCGCAGCACTAGAATACTAAACTAATTACTGCTTTTACTCTTAATGTATTCTATTCCAAACTCGGTGCAAATTTATCAGGGGGCTTTAACCTCGGAGCCTCCCCCTGCTTGTCCGGGATGTGGTCAGTGGAGAAACTAAACTGGCAAGAGCTTCCCCAAAGTCAAGTCTATAGGCACTATATATCCTCTAATCCAAGTAAAAATCTCAATCAGATGTTTTCGCTTACACTGGTAAACTGGGATATTCCCGTTTCTAAAACAGTTTACAAGTTATGGAATACTTGTTTTTTGCCTCCCCTTGTAACTGTTAGTTTAGTGACTGACAATGACAGCTCAGTGAAATGTTAAATTAGATTTGTGCTAGATTCAATATAATGTCCTGCAGCTTTCCCAGAATCTGAGAAACTGTGCCCACACTAAACTGAAATTACTGGCTACACTAAAACTGAGTTAGCCCATGTCTAGCAACCCCCCCCCCCCCTTTTTAGTTTCCAAATGGATAGTGTCATCCTGACTTTTATTTTTAAATGCAGGTAAATGAACTTATCACAGAAAGAAATGGTGGTCAGACTAAATCTGTGGGCTCAAAGGCCACTATGGGATTTTCAGTGTGCCTATTCTTAGAAGAACACAGCCGGCCCACAACTGGACCGGTCTGGTTTTCACGCACACACTCATGGCCGACTTGTGACTCTCATGCAGTACACTCTGCAGGCGAAGAAGGGGGGGGAGGACATATCTAGGCTGATTCACATTCATAAACCCTAAACTAATAGTTCAGTGAACCTTAGAGCAGCCTTATGAAGACTCCACGGGCAAAAAAACATTGAGTCTAGTAAATATGATGCGGTTATTGTGGATTCTAATGGCTTTGACTGAAGTTATGTAACAGCGGATCACAGACAGAGGAATACAAATCTTTGCGATTTTAGGTGTCAAGGATGATGCCATGTACCAAAGCAAAGTTTGGGAGTGGTTCTAAGAAGCCAATAGGAGTGTCTAACCAGGAGCTCGGCTGACCAATAGGATCCGCCATCATTGATGTGAAAGGTATCCAAGCTCACTTCCTGTTTCCATGGGGCTCGGTAACAGGAGCGTCAAACAATGCACAATAGTGTAGACACGCCCCATCATTAGCGGTGTCCTCAAAGACTGGCACCATTATGTAGTCTGACACCGATACTGGCAAACCCACATGCACAAGCACACAAACCCAGACCAATCACAAGAGCACAACATTCACACACCCACTAAAAGTGCTCGCACAAAGTGGCACCTGACTTGACCAAGCCGCAGTTGTAACAGACTCCAAAAATAGCAGAGGCCCACCAGTAGACTCTAAATGCTAACCTAAGCTTGACATATGCCCACTCCCAGAGAGAGCCCATCCCAATTCCATCCATCCCGTTTCCCTTTCTCCATCCAGTTCAGACAAGACTAAACTGGCTGGCCTGGAGACAAGATACATGCTCCATGTTTCTTGTCATATGATTTTGGCTATTTAAAAATAGCCTGCTCTACTTGAAGTTTCCAAACAAAGTTATTAATCAAACAAGAGTTCAAAGGCATCTCATATGAGATTTTTAAATGATGATGAGAACCAACAGTTGTATATACATCCTCAAACCATAGGAGGAAAGAAACTGTCCTTAGTTTGCTTTGTTTGATTTAGTCTTCCTAGCTTTAATTGTTTGCCTTATTTTACATTTAAAATATTTTCCAACCCTTTAGCTACAGTGCAGGTGTTCAGGTTTATTCCTGCTGAAAGGACTGTTCTTTTAAGAATGGCACAAATGTCTTTTCTTTTGCTCATATTTGCTTTTCTAACAGTTGTGACCTAGAACATGTGAAGAAATGTAATCCACGTTTTACCCCAGATCCAAAGATCAGCTCCCTATGTGTAATGTTGATCAAGGAAGGAATGCCTCTTCTGACGATTATGTCACAAGGAGTTACTCTGGTTCAAAAAGTCATCTGACCTGAATGCGTAAGCCGATGTGTGTGTGT